GGCGGATTGCTTCCCAGTGGGCGGGCTAAAGCGGCGGCGCGTCGTGGTGGATAGCATGTCGCGACTTGCAGCGGCCTCGACGAGTATAGGCCCGGCACACGACACCAACGACGCCCTGCATGCACGCTCTCCCTCTCTCTCGCCTACTCGCTCTCGCTCTCGCCCTCGCCCTCGCCCACTCGCATACACCATGGCCCTGTTCGCGCGAGGCCAGCAAAGGATATCGTGACGCTCAGGCTCACGCCGGCGACTCGCGCAAATAGCGTCCCTAGCCCGCCCGCTACGCTGCCAGGAACCAGAAGCAGAAGCAGATACGGCTCGCAGCCCGTCGTTGGTCAGCATTCATGGCAGCTCGCAGGCCAGCGCCGTCCCGCAGCTGCATCGTCTTCCGCGCCTCCTCCCCATCGTCGCCCAGCTCGTGTCATCAATAATACTCCGCTTCTCCTCGCGACTGTGCTCCCGCGCTCTACGCGCATGCACACACGGTGCTGCCCCACTGTCGACATCAAGCCGTGATTTTTGCCCATCAACAGCACTGAATCCGTGCCCACCAACTCCACTTCAGGCCAGCCATGAATGCCGCCCCGGACACCTCGTTGATAGATAATGTCTCACGGCGCCTGCAAGTCGTCCTGTTTGTTCTGGCTGCCTACCTGGCCATTGGCCGCCTCCGCCAGTACTGGCGCCTGAGACACTTTGCCGGGCCCGCGACGACGGGTCTCTCTTGGCTGTGGCATTCGCGGGCTGTCATCGGCGGCGAGTCCCCCAGGTACTACGGCGACGTGTGCGAAAAGTACGGTATGCGGCACCCGCCCTCAAGACGGATTGACACATGACACTGCTCACGCTGCTGCATAGGCCCGATTGCGAGAATAGCACCCAACCACCTTATAACCTCTGACCCAGAGCTCTGGATGCGCATCAACGCTGTGCGCTCGCCGTACAAGAGATCGCCCTGGTACTATCACGCTGCCCGTTTCGAAGTCGGCAAGGATAACGTCTTTACCGAATGCGACAATGACCGCCACGATGCGCGGCGGAGGAAGATGCTTTCTGGCGTAAGTCCTACATTGATTGCCTTTGTTGCTTTTGCCCGGAATCACTCGACGGCACTTCCGCCCGGCCACATGCTCACGCGCGCTGACACATGCCAGTACTCGGGCAAGGAGAACCCGACACTGGAGCCTTCGATTGACGTACACGTCAAGGAGCTCGTCGACCTAGTGCGCAAGTATGCTTCCTCGCCGGCCTCCATCGACCCGCCTACCCACATGGACTTGGCGCAGAAGATTCCCTTCTTTACCCTGGACGTCATCAGCCACATTGGCCTGGGCGAGGCCTTTGGCGACTTGACGGCCGACCACGATGTCAAGGACTATCTCAAGTCGAGCGAAGAAGGGCTCAAGATTGGCAACACGGCCTTTGCCATGGGCATCGCCTGGCTCAAGGAAATGCCCATCATCGGACCCGCCATCAGCCCGTCGGAAAAGGACACGACCGGCTTCGGCAACATGATGGCTCAAGCGCGCAAGATTATCGTTTCCAGAAGCCAAAAGTCGACGGAAGAAAAGTCAGACATGTTTGCAGCCTTTGTCCGCCACGGGCTTGCAGGGGATGAGCTTTGTGAGTGATACACGTGCTCCAACGATACATGGGTGGACAACAATCTAACCCGTCTAGTCCAAGAGGTCTTTGAGCAGATCCTTGCTGGCTCTGATACTACCGCGGCTGCGATTCGTATTATCTTGCTTCATGTCATGAGCCACCCGCGAGTATATGCAAAGCTGCAGGCCGAGATTGACGAAGCAGTCCAGAACGGAAAAGCCCCGGCGTCTCCCGGTGTGGTATCGGATGCACAGGTGCGCCGCCTACCGTATTTGGGTGCTGTAGTCCGAGAAGCCATGCGGATGCACCCCCCCGTTGCCAACATCTTCTCCAAGGTGGCGCCCGATGAAGGAGATGTGGTGACTATCGACGGAAACGAGTACTACATCCCCGGCGGCACCCTGATTGGCTACTCGGCTTGGACAATGCATCGCAACAACCGCAAAGTCTACGGCGAAGATTGCGCCACGTTCCACCCCGAACGCTGGCTCATTGACGACTCGGACGACGCAGCAAAGGAGCGCCTGGCCAGGATGACGAGGACCAATGATTTGATTTTTGGCTATGGCCGCTGGCTTTGCCTGGGCCGCAACATTGCCCTGATCGAGATCCACAAGGTTGTGTTTGAACTGTTGAGAAACTTCGACATGGCCTTGACCTATCCACTGCAGCCATGGAAGACGTTTAATTCCCTTGGCCTCTGGGAAATCAAGGACATGTGGGTCGACGTCAAGGTGCGAGAGTGAGCATGATAATTGATACAACAACGGGTAATGAGCAGGAACGAATCGAGGAACAGACTGTCAACGATATGACGATTTCCTACGTGTCACGTAGCAGTACTGGGGGAATGCTGCTGGATTTCTGTTTTGCTTCTTGTTAGTGTTGGTGTCGCAAGGGCAACGCGTTCTCCCTACTAAAATGCCAAGGGGCCCAATCGGCTTGCTGCGTCAACCACAACGTGCCAACATGGCAAATCACGTAGATACACATAATCACGATGCAAATGCCATCCAACCCACACAGCACAACCGCTCCGCCTGGACTGCAATGTGCACAGATTCTGGCCAAGCGTCGCCGGTCGCGCGCGGGGATACCTGACTGAAGCGCAGCTCTCGAGGCAACTCCAGCAAGCATGACGGTCCCGTTCGGCCATGGTCACCACCTGGACGAATCGCCCACGTACAGCCACGGCACCGCGCCGACCACCCCACGGCTGTCCTGCCATGGCTTTGCGGCTTCGCGCCATCATGTCGCTGCCCAAGTCGTCGATATGGCCGGGTACGACGAGCCCAGCGTCAATGCGCAGACAGGCCAGACGAGCGCCGACTGTCAGCAACGCGAAGACAGCTACTCGCCCGAGGATACGCCCACCAAGCGACAAAAGACCCGTCACTCCTCGCCAGGACCGCAGCATGCCTGTATGATTGCCAGTCCGACATCCGAGGCGCCATATGCGGGCCTCCCGCAGAGTCCAGCGCTGCTCGCCGCCCCCAGCGACGCGTCCGACGGCCACTTCGACATGCTGCCTCCCCCAGACTCGGTGCATCCCTCATGGCAAGCTCTCCACGAATACGCCCAGTCGCACGCGTCCGAGCATGGCTACGCACTCAGCATCAACACGACGGCCAAGAACCGCTCGCGCATCAAGCTAGCCTGTGTCTGCTACGGCCAGCCCAAGAACACGCACAAGCTGACTGACGAGACGCGGGTCCGCAAGAACCGGGTCAGCTACAAGACGGGCTGCAAGATGTGGGTCGAGGGCAAGAAGCTCGACGACGGCACGTGGCTGCTGCGCGTGGGCGAGCCGCAGCACAACCACCCGGGGCGCGAGAGTGCGGGGTGGGCCGTCCAGCGAAAGAGAACATGGGGCCTCGTCGGGGGGCGCATCGGCGTGGGAGGCGTCACGGCCAAGGAAGAGCTGGCCAAGATGAACCTCTGCGAGACCAGGGAGACCCAGTCCGATGGCGATGCAGAAGCCGAGGCCGACGACTACACTGCCCAAGCTTCACAGCCAGAGCTCTCCCAGAAGCCCGCCACCCACAGTCTGGAGCGCGGCGGCCTCGTGTGGAGGATCGTAGAGCAAGAAATGTTGCGCAAGGGCGAGCCAAACCACGGGCGCGACCGCGGCGTAGGCAGAACCGTCGGCGTCCTCCAAGCCACGCTCCCCGGCATCCACATCCTCAAGCGCGACGTCTACAACATCCGGGCGCAAATCAAGCGAGCGCGAAAAGCATCCGGCCAGCCTCTGGGTCACGGTTTCCAAAAACCAACTGACGATATTCAACCCCAGGATGAAGTACCCATGGCCATGCATACAGAGTCCAACTACACATCGCCTCGACATGAGCGCTCAACACTTGCACATGACGAATCTCCACCGATTACTACGAATACATACAATGCAGACGCATACGCTTCTCCATGCCGCCTCTCACGCACCAATTCCACGCCCCCCGCGCAATCAACATCATACATTGACCCGTCTCTCGACTCGACCAACAATCCCAATCCCAATCTTGATTCCAACAAGAATAATAATATCAACACCTCCTCCTCCTCCTCTCCATCTCCTCCTTCCCCTGCCCATCCAGCTCTATCACCAACACCACAACCAGTCCCAGTCCCAAGTCCCCCACCCACAAACACAAACACAAACACAACCCCAGAACTCGACCGTCTCCGCCGCGAAAACTCGGAGCTCAAACGCCTTCTCGCGGAAAAAACAAAAGAGGCACGCGATAAAGCGAGGGAAATGGCGGGCTTGAAAAGTCAGGTTGAGCTCTTGAGTAATATGGTGTTGACGAGTGGGAGGGGCGTGGTGGCTGGGTAGTTGATTGGATGCGTGGTAATTTGGGTGCGCAAGTGGTGAGAGGGGTTGGGTCATGTAGAGTGTAGAGTGTAGAAGAGGGATGAGTAGGATAGGATAGGTATAGGTATAGTTACAGGATAGTACAGTCTAGTACAGTCTAGTACAGTAGTCAGGATGCTCTGTATAGTTGGTTTACGGTCTGGGATTTGGTTCTGTTTTCTTCCTCCTCTTCCTCCTCTTCCTCCTCTTCCTCCTCCTCCTCCTCCTCTTCCTCCGCTTCTTCTTCTTCTTCCTCCTCCTCCTCTTCTTCTTCTTCTTCTTCCCCCCTGTTTTTTTTTCTTTCTTCTTCTTCTCCTCTATTCTTGCCCCCTCCCCCCCCCTTTACCCCCTGTTTTCTTTTTCTTTTTTTCCAAACGACAACGACAACGACGGATTCATTTATTTTGTTTTTTCCTTTTTTTTTTCTTTGAGGTTTCTTGCCGGTTTCTTGCCGGTTTCTAGCGTTGCGGCTTGGTGATGGATATGCGGCGGAATAAGCGGAATAGGCAGTGGAAGAGGCAGTGGTGGAGGTGGAGTGGAGGTGGAGGTGGAGTAGATATGAGGCTGGGACACAGACAGAGAGAGAGAGAGATCGTGTGTGCATGTATGTGTGCATGTATGTGTGTGTATGTGTGTGTATGTGTGTGTATGTGTGTATGTGTCGAAGAACCCAAATTCTCTTTTCTTGTACTTAATGCAGATGACATCTATCTGTTTTTTTTTACTTTTACATTTACTTTTACTTTTACTTTAGATACCCCCCCTCTCTCTCTCCCTTTTTTTTCTTCTTCTTTCTTTTTTTTCTTGGGGAGATACTCTTATCTAAATTCAGTGGTTATGTTTTTTTTTTGGTGACTGGTAGTCTATTTGTGTTGTGCTGGGTCTTGGTATATATTTATGGATGTATGGATGTATGGATGTATGCCGTGATATGTATCAGCAATATTGACGGTCAAAAGTCAGAATCAGAATCACCACAATCGTATACTGTGTGTAACTCTGCTGGCGTTGTGAAAGCACGTGTGCATCAGCATGTCGAAACCACTCATGAAAAAAACAAAATTACATGGACGTGATTTGGAAAGAATAAATGGTACTATGATAATTTGTAA